TGACATCGCGTTTGCACGTGATACATAAAATGGCTGCTCCGTGACACTATTCTCGTACGAGATTTACCTTTATCGACGGTCATTGAATATCGATTATTATTAACCTGTTATTCTCATAAATTTTTATATTTATTCTATTTAAGGAAACGTGTTTTCAATGTTTTTTTTTTATAAAATATATCGAAACATCTGTCCAGTAAGTGAAAAAAAAAACTTAAGAAACTTACAAGTTCATGCTTAAAATGTCACCGATATTAAAAGACATAATTTCTCGGAAAAGTGATAAGATTTGAAATTTTCTCGCCCTCGTAAATTCGTGACTAATCATAAGACGAGAAAACTACTTTATTAAAACTCGTAGATTTGTTCGAAAACCGTGAGAATCGAAAGTAAAATTATAATAATTGACGATTCGATTATTATAACATCCCATTCAACGATGCCATAAATCAAATTTAAATAATCAAATCAAAATTAATCTAAAGAAAAATTAACAAAAGGATGGAGAATATGAGAATAACTCAGTAGATCAATATCTTTAAAAAAAAAAGAAAAATTCACCCCATTAATAAAACATTGGTTGTGAATTTCAATGGACGGGATAAACATTCGTTATTCAAAGGGGCAAAATCTTCTCCTCCGTCATGTTCCAATTCCCACCGACTTCTCGACACTGGATTACATTTTAATCTTATACTTTTATCCGGGATAAGCCCGCGTAAATTCTTCGTTATCGCGGAAACGAAACCGTGGCGGATTCAACCAGAGAGATTCAACCCGCCTAATACCCGTGCTAAACTTTAAACCGTTGCCAACCATGTTTCCAAAACATGATTCGTCAAGATCGTTTCGTGATCCCTAATTTTGACATTCGTCACTTCTCGTGACACGACCCAATTCTTGCTCCTGAACTTTCCCATGGCTAATAGGTAATAGCCGGCCAGAACATCGTACAAGATCCCGCAAAACTTATCGAACGTCGCATAATTATAGATTAATTCGGCCGTCACGCGAACGTTCTACTATCAGTCCGCACGAACTTCGTGGAATCGATAACGCGACCGATAAACTAGCGCGTTTATTAGATTTACAGAGAGGAATAGAAAATTGATTAAAAATAAACGATATATATATTATTCTCTCAAAAATAAAAAATAAAAGGGCGTACTCTAATATCTCTCGAAAAATAATCCCTGAATCCGAAAAAATAGTCACGTTCGTGTTATAAACCGTGAGCAACCACGCCTGTTAAGAACAAATGTCGACGAGGTAACGTATCGTGGGTAAAGAAAAACGGAATAGTTGGTATGTGGTCGCCAAGCATTGTTTTCCTACGTGTGTGCGGGGCGAATTTAAATCTGTAACCGTGGCACGAACGTGCTTGTGCAAACGTGGCCACCCGTTAAACAAATGGACATTTTCATAAACGGTTGTAAATTAGTTGGACACGAAAACGGATATTCTATCATTTTCTATCTTTTCTCCATAAGCTTCGAATCAGAACTTGCAAAGAACGCGTAAAATGAAAAATCTCTCTCGTATTAATCGTATTACGATCATTCTCGATTTAAATAAATTAATCATTCGCGTCACGGATCAAAATTTCGAATAAAAGTTTTCCTATTCTTTTATCGTAGTGAGTTAATCATACATGATCCTACAAAGTCCTTTCAAAATAAAAAAAAAAGGAAAAAAATTCGGGATCGCAGTTAAGTAAAATATATACGGGAAATAAATACAATGACAGATTAAACTATCACCTACGATTTTACACCCCTCTCTGTCGACCCACGGATCTCACAACCCCATGCGTCACAAATCACGGGGTATTCGCGCAACGAAAAATCCATGGCAGAAACGAGAGAAGGAAGATCTTGCTCGCGGGGCAAGAATTACGAGGAGGGGGAGAGGAGGGATCGAGGACAAAATCGATAAGCGTCGTGCGACCATGAATCAACGCCCGATGTGTTTAGACCGCCTGCGGGATTTGGCAAAGGATCCCGCAGGATAATCTCGGCGAAACCCACGAGGGTATCGCCGATGGTGTACAACACGTGCGGAAAGAAAAGGATAAGAAGAACGGACACTGACACTAGTCTAACGTGTGTAAAATTTAATAAGATACACGGAAAGCGATGAAACAATATGTGCAAAATTAAATTTAAAGAGAAAAAAGGAGGAAAGAGTATGATAGATATAATGTGGTAAAAAAAATTGGCCCTTTTCTTTTAATAAGTAAACTCGTTTAATATCCTGAAAATTCTGTTTTTAACGAAAATTTGTATGTGTGTAATAATTTTAGCATCTTTTCGTTATTTGCAATCTTATTCTTTCGTAACAAAACGATGGAATATTCTAAAACGTTTTTGTAATTTAAAATATCATCATCTCAGAATATTTTAAATAATATTAAAATGCTTCAGTTGTAGATTCATCGTGTTTATTAAAAAAAAAAAAGCAAGGAATTATTCAAATATTTTTATAAACAGTATGATAAATTGGAAAAATATATTTAAAAAATTAAAATATTATTCAACCTTTTCACCTTAGAAATTTCTTCAACGTTTCAGCCTTCAGTGATTCATTGATTCTTTGACCTAACCTAAAACAATATTTCATCCCCAATTTTAAGACCCAACGAATATATCTTCCCCCTCCATCCTCTTTCCAAGATCAACTACGAGATTGGGCTTGACGACCAAGTATAAAAAACGTGGGAAAATTTACAAGCACTAGAGAAGACAGGTGAAAAAAAAGAGGTTGGAGAAAGATCTATCAAATATATCATTTGAATTTATCTCTTTCATCTTATTCATTGGATACATAAACCGAATAAGTACCAGAAATTAATCATTTTGATTGTTCAGTTTCTCAAACGAAAGATTTTGTTGTTGAAGAGCTCGAAATTATCGTACTTATTTCATATTCCATGTTCGTTTCTACCTTGTCTGGCCGTTGCTACCTCATTCTACTTTTACCCACCTTTACTCAGACAAGTGGAATAAGAATATTGGAATAAGATCTTGAAAATCACATCACTTGTACATTTCTCTCCTTTGTATATCTTGAACGTAATAACAGGGATAAAGATATATCGCGAAAAATGTGTAATAGAATAACGCGTTATCAAATATTAATATAACGAGGAGAAGAAGAAGGAACGAAGAATGTTTGGATTAAAAAGGAATAAAAAAACTTTCAATATTTTTCCATTAACGAGACTTATTGTTTCGCGAAAAACGTGCTGGCTGACAACATACATGAACGCGCTCACTCCCCTCCTCCTGATTCCGCGTGGAGCCAGCCGGATAAAAACTCAGGGAAAGAACATTCTGCGCGGTGGAACGTGGCGAATCCTGTATTATCCAGTGGTCGAGTGAGCAAAGTGAAAAGTTGCCGCGAAAGAACATTTTCCGGCGGATATTCGCGAGATCGAACGAGTCATTTGTACATAGAAAAATTCACGAACGGAATTTAAAATTTATTATAAGTACGCGAAGAAAAAATTATAAAAATTGTTTTACACGATTGGATAAATATTCGAAAATTAATTTTGAAAATCTTTTAAAAGATATCCGAAGTTTATTCGAAGTTAAACTATGATTCAAACGATAATTGAAAAAAGGAAAAATAAGGAAATGAATATATGATAAGGAATTATCGAAAATGGTATCTAAAATTCTTTCTTAAATTTATCCTTTCTAAAGTATACATTTAAAAACATTCCTCTTCCTCGTGATTCTTTCCGCCGCGCATGCATTTTTCCTTCAAGAAGGTGCCTGCGTTTCTGAAGCTGGAAACGGTCCAGAGAGATATAAGAGATTCTGAATCGAACTTTGGTCGTTAGATACACGTATGCATCAAGGATGACGCATCATCCATATTTATCACCCTTGTGAAATGAAATTTTCTTATCCAACCAAATCGTTTACAGATATTCATTGGCATCAAGTGACTTGCAAATTGTAAAAAATTTCATCAACGATGCAACTCCAATAAAATTTCAATCCACTGTTATCACCTTTATATCGCGATGGAACGACATATTTTCGCCTGTCTGTAAATATATAACATGATCGTCGTTGATAAAATCCTTTTCCTACCCGTGATTCATCGCATTATTCGCATTATTAAACAGCATCATTTGTATTCGTGTTGCATCTCGTAATTTGTAAGCGTGGAAAATCGGAGGAGTCTTAAACGTAGCGATTTTCGAATCATTTCCATCTACTCGTAATTTCGTATTTCCATGATTCTTGGACCACGGAAATACGGATGCATGATAAACTACGAATTCTGGAAATGGTCCAGAAGGGGAAGGATGAAAGATCAGATCTGAATTGTTCCTCGATCGTTGGATGCACTTACGCGTGAACAGCTCGATCTATTGTGAATATTTATTGGCCCTGTAAAATATTTGAAATAGTATGGGGATGATGTTTAGTTTCATCCATTATTGAATCTAGGTCGGTTTAATTTGCGGTCAACATTTTTGTAACAAAATTCCAAAATACTCAAGTAACTCTTTATTCTTCAATATGTTTTCAAATTAAATGCAAGAAAAGAATTGAAAAGATATTATGATTGTAGTAGAAAAATTCCATATACAGTTTCTTGGCATAATAAAGAATACCAATAATCTTGATGAAACGAATTGACAAAAATATTATTTCTTTTTCAACTATTATTTCTCTTCTAAATTAAAATTTTCTCTCAAAATTTCCTTTTCACAAACAGAAAATAGAAATTATTTTAATCAAATATTACAACATTCTTTAAATTAATGAAACTAAAAGACTGATAACATTAAATAAATTAATTATATATATATATAAATTTGCAATAAAACAGAAATATATTAAATATATTTTTTATATGTAACAGATAATATTATTACTTCAACATGTATGCCAAGATGCAATGTCTATACACTATCCTTCTAAAATCAATCAATTGACTTAACGATGACAATATCTTAATATCCCTTAATGAAATTTCAGCACCATCCGTCCAAATAGTGGACGCCCTGGGTGAACCTCTGAGAGACAAGTATTATGAGGCTGACAGCACTATAGAGCTGTTATGCGTTGTGCGCCACATAGCAATGCAAGTGCAATACAGTGTCGTGCAGTGGCTTCACGGCAACAGAGTTTTGAACTACGACACGACGAGAGGCGGTATCAGGTGAGTCAAATTATTTTGTTACCATTTCTTTTTTTAAAATAATTTTAAATAGAAGAAATCTTTGTCCCAGAACCATCGAATTTATTAAAATTATAAATCTACCACGCGTGTTTGTAACTAAAAGATTCGTAAATACGATTCATAAATTGCATTCCTGGAATTAAACAATCGGTAATCCGAGCCAATCTTTCAAACTTTCCAATATTCTTCGAACATGGATAGGAAGAGTACGTAGAAAGATGAAGTTGAAATTAATTTCTATGCAAATGATTCTTAAAAATAAATTCAACAGACGCGCTTGGAACGGATATTAAAGAACTGAAAAGTTTAGCAATGGTTCGACAACGTAGATCAAGATCTCTAACATATTTTCCTCGATTGGAAAAAAAAAATTGGAATCGATCTCATTTCGCCTTCCCTCCTCCTCCTCCACGAGTAAATCTGGATATGCAAAGGAATTCATTCTCTAAATCCCACATAACTTCAAACCTTCAAACAAAATAACAAAATAAACGCACAAAACAAAAATTCGTTTCAAAATTTAAATTAAAAAAATTAGTACAACAAATATACGTACGTCTAATTTACATATTTCTTGTTCTTCGAAATCTTAACAATAATTCTCTAATATATTCAGTAGTATATTTCTCACGATCACATTTACTCATTCCCACAATTCATTATACATCCCTCTGTCAGATCCACCGATCTGCCCTAATTCCAATTCCAAACGAGGAAAAAGAGATATCTCCCCTAAAAAGAGGACGGTAACGACCGCACATAACTCAATACATCCCCGTGCATCAATCCTCCTCGAGAATCCATCCATCCTTCGCACGAGTCAAACACGACAAAACACCGGTGACGTTCGAAACGCAACGATCCACCTCTCCATACGACCACGATTCGAAACCGAACACCGAGATATCTTCAACTGTCTGATTGCGACCTGAGGCAAGCGTACACGCCACTTGGCATTCCATGGATACGAGCGATCGTAACCACGCCGCGACACGTCATAAATCATGCACGATAGTCGGTTCTCGGAACCGACAATCCTCGGAACATCGATGCCAGAATGGCTTGTTCCGCCAAAGTTATAATCCAGTGTCAACAATTCCGGCCGCCTTTCCACCCACATAGATTCATCCAACCCCTTAATTCCCCGTATAAACCAACCACAGTCTTGAAAATACCAATTGTGAAAATACCGTCTCAGACAAACACTGATGAAAAATTAATATACGTAATTAATTAACGCACGAGACGTTATTCTTGTAATGTAAAAAATGTTATATATAATAGAGCAAATAGAGATGCTAATAACATTGAAATATTAACAAATGTTAATCTTCCATTAGTATAAAAAGTAAATAAGAAATTGTCAAGTTTGGCTGATTTATAACATTTTCTTTCATTCAAGCATCTCGTTCAAAATTACAAAATAAAAAACATCCGCGTACGATACCCTTTCTTTCTTTTTTTGATAATTTATAATGTAAATAGCACAGAAAAGGAAACATAATTCGCAATGTAAATCGTTTGGAAAAACATCTGCATAAGGCGTTGCACGAGTCGAAGATCGTAAGACGATCCTCCGCGCCATCTAGAGAGGAGGCGACACTAAGCCGAGTGTGACGCTTAACGTTTGAACGACAGTGTTGCAGCGGGAACTAGAATGTTTCTCGCATCGCGGAAACGTTGTCGGTGCACTCGACGTCCCGACAAAGTTACAAGCCGTAGACACGGTGGTTGCCGGTAAATGGAATTAGTTTGCACTCAGTGGCAGGTACATAAAGACGCGTGTACATAGAGGCTCTCGTAGCATCCTCGTGGGCACGACCACTTCAACCCCTTTCGTACGTGGCAACCACGTGGCCCGTGGAAACCGCGAACCGTAACCGCAGGAAGCATCGTTTTGCCGCTCGTTATTTTTCTCCAGGAAGATAACTGTCCATCCCCTCACCGTGCAAAATGCGAATTTATCCGTCGCCACGTTTATTCGAGCTTTTAATTAACTGCTCGCGAGGTGTTCGACGCGTCGAGGATATCGGAGATGAGAATATCCGGTTACATCGATCGCTGTACGATTGGTGTGACAGAGATTCAAAATAAAAGTGGGTTTAATTGTAATTTCTTAAAATATTTTAAAAATATTTGTAGTTATATTCAATTTATCTTTAAGTTTAGAAGATTAGAGAATTAGATATTATTATATGTAAGATAATTTGGGAAAGATAAATAAATAAGGTTTTATTTTTAATTGGTAAGGAAAGGTAAATTGTTTTATGATTTTGTTTTAGGATTTTCTAGGGTATGAAAGAAATGAATAAAAACAAAACTCTGTGAATCTCTGTGAATTAAAATTATAAATTCGAAGTGTATACTTTTTTTCGTAATGTAAGATAAGACAAGGGAAATTCAAGTTAAAAGAAGTCATGCTACATTTTACAATAATACTCGATCTTAATTCATCAGCATACTTAAATATTTATAAGCTCGAATTCCATGTTAATGGATAATATTTATGACAATGTTAATTAATGTTTCATTCCTTCCGGAAATGCTGATACGTTAGTTGGAAAAACTAATATATCAAAATAGACATTGTATGCAACATAATATCTATATCATCCAGGAAAAAAACTCGTGAACTTCATGCTGCATTTAACGATAAATGTATCTTTTTATGACTTTTATTAACATAGTAATTTGTACATTGAATGAACGTATGCAATTCATATATTTGTGTGTATTAAAAATTAACTTATTTTCGTTATATTTTTCTTTTTTTTCATACGACATAATATTTTCTTATTTTATTTTATAGGCTCTCGTGATTATTTATTACGAGATGTGATGATACAAGGTGTTATTAGTAAGTTTCAATTTGCAGTTTCCTGCAATGATACAATATTCGAGATACTAACGAGATTTCGACAAAACAAACTACAATATTTGTCGAATATCGTTAACCTGTGAAATTCTAAATGTAATTTCGAAACTATATGCCAACTGGAGTGGATATCGCACATATTACATACGTAAGAGCTAGAATTGGAGAGAAAATCATACTACAAATTGAAATTAAATATTTGCCTTAATCAATCCAATAATAATACTCCATATATTTAACACACTTTAACTTTCCTATTATACGAAATATTTCGAGAAACATTTTTATTGATTATTCATTCGCGAGATAAGAAGTTGTTGATGTTTTATTTAAAAGTTGTTGGCCACAACAATTTTTATTTATCCAGACAACATTATAATATTATATTTTAGAATCGCAAACGATTGCATCAGGTAATAAAACATACTTGTCTCGTTAATTAAGATTTTAATTACTAACAAAATCATTTCACGCGAATTAAATGGCAAATGTGATTACAGCCACGTTGATTGGATTTTCCAAACATTTAGAAATTGCTATCGTTAATTCGCATTGATTTTAAATCATCAGTTTTAAAAGTGGATCAAACACATCGTAAATAGCTCCCGTGAAAAGCCGCTCTCATTTGTTGGAGCTATTTCACGGATAATATCGTATAACAACTATTGATTTTTGAGTGAAAGAAAAAGATAACAAACGGTGTTATTCATCTCTATCTCTAAACTTCTCCAAGAGAATAAAGAGTAACATTATCAATTGAGAAACTTTTAACAAAATTGTAATACGTTCTTCTTCCTAAAATTGAAGCAAAAAGATTGAAGATTGTTCGATTTTTCGTTCAATTATTCGAAATAAAAATTCAAAATCAAATTTCGACAAATAATTATATCCAAATATTATTGGATTTAATACAGGATTCAAGAAACAAAGCAAAATTGTTAAATTTAGTAAAGATCAATACTTCTTTATTTAGAAATCTTCATTTATAAAAAAAATCACGCAATTCTTGTATAACTTATATTTAAAAAAAAGTATAATACTCAATTTTTGATATAACGAAGTTGAGTGAATTCGAAATATTTTTATCCATACAAAAATTTCTTAAAATAATATATTAAATAACTCAAATTTATTATTTCCAGATAATTATCAACGATATTATTCATATTCTTGAAAGTGTATTTACATTCAAACACTATCTCCTCATTAATTTTCTTCGGTAAAAATCTCTTCTCGAACGACATCTCTATACAACCGAGTTATAGTTTAAAACAATAGCCGATTAAATCATTCGTACGCCGGGACGCGTTAATAGGGCCGTGATTCAATCCCCTAGTTTATTATATATTCGCGGCCATTTTTCATCCCGTTTAAAATTACAGACTCGTGACAAATTTACACCGTCGTGGAAGCGTTAATCCCGTTAACGCAATTTCGTGGAAAAATGTTGGACAATCGAACGAAAGGGAGAATGAAGAGGAAGGGGAAAGAATAATGGGGAAAAGTATTCGAGATGGCGGTATATTAACGCGAAACTGAAAGAAACCAGGCGAGAGGATCGGGGGTTGCTTAACGCCATGGATCAACGAGCAATCGTGCTCGGGAGGAGATAACGAACAACGGACAAATTGCAGCCTGTGAAAAGTTTTTCAATTAAAGGCCACCTTCTGTGTTTCGCGTACAAAAAAAAAAAAGAAATAGAAAGCATTTATCATTGGGTTTAAACAATTGAATAAAAAAAAGGGGGAGGTATTGTACTTTTTCATTTATCATTAATAATTTTGGATAAGTTTAAAAGGGGAATGAAAAATGTGTGAACATGGGGAGAATTTCAATTTTGTACGAAAAGTGCAAAGCAAATTGTTACTAGACAATTGCTAGATATTGTCATGTAAAATGAAATGTTTTAAGAGCATAAATTTTGAACCTTGATTTCTGTAGTATATTTTACATGATATCCCAATTTTAAAAATTCTCTATTTTCAGAGTTCAATTTTCATACAATATTTTATGTAAATCGTATTCTATGTAATCTAGATACTCCATTTTAGTAAAATAAGGTATCTTGAGAGTTCGATTTTTATGTAATACGATACATGGTATGATTCTATATAAGGTGATATTTTGAAAATTTGATACCTCGTGCAACGGAGTATTTTATAAACTCGATTTTTATGCAACAATAGATGCTTATGATGCTACATTTTAAAAGATTCTAATGTAAAGAGATTTTTTTTTTAAATTAACATACCAAATTAAAAAAAAAATTGTATTATATATAAAATGTTAATCAAGGTGTTTAATAAAAAGGGAAATAAAATTTTTATTATCTTTTTTATTAGAAATTCGTAGAAGCACGGTGAAATGACAGCACGGCAACGATAATTAAACGAAATCGAATAAACATTTAAAAGAGATCTTTTGATACATTTTCTTCATTCTTTCAAATGATTATTAAATTTTTTATGATACACGCGGCATAAACTGATCAGCCTGCAGTTTATTGCACAACTTTATGACATATATAAATTGTTAAACGATAATTATATAGTAATTTTCGAATAGAGAATAAATTAATTTCACAATTTGTAATATAATTATAATAATAACCAAAAAAAATTGTTCCAATATAATACATTAAATTATATACATCACCATCCAATTACCAATGAAATATTCTCTACGAATATTGATAATAAGTGTAAAACAAAACTGCCCCTAGTAAAGCAATAATCATACCTGCACGCCACGATGAAAACGATAGCCTAATATTTATTGCCATGGAATAATTGCTTTACACGCGCACTTTACATAAGCATCGTACGTAATCTTGAAACGATCAAACCTAGTGATTTATTGCTTTACAGCCGCCCTATCATCATAAGAAATTCTTTTGCAATGTCGTTCTGTTCGTGCATGTAGGAAAATAACACTGTGTTCCTTGTCAGATAGAGCAAGTGGCAGATCCATTACATTGGAGTAATACCACTTGTAGATGTTCTACTTGCTTTTATAAATTATTTAAATCGAGATTACACAGTTTTTTTTTTATCTTCTTTCGCATTTTAATCCATTAATAACACACAATGAATAGTGTATAAATGGATTATTATTAATGAATCTACCAATTTTTATTTATTCACGAAACTTTTTTTTTTGTTTTTTTAATAAGATGGAATTTTTATTCAAATTTACGAATTAATAAATTCGTTTATTTCATACTGTTATATTTAAATTTTCTTTTTTATATATCGATAGAATTGATCGATAAAAGGAACATCTGTGCGAATTGATTTTATATTATATGTATATGAATTTTTTTTTTAATTTTCTCCGAGACTATTCGGAAATAAATTGGTAACTATTATACGTATCCCCAGAACATATTCCCAGAACGATCAAAATTCTATATGGTAATACTTTCCAAATAGAAGTTGATTACATTCATATTTTCCCAATGCATATCAATATCTAATTTTACTTCGATTCAGCATTAAATATATCACGTGCTATATTATCACTCGTATCATAATATTTTAAATCACTTCATTTATCTACGTTTCACGATTCAATTCACGATTTTATGGAAAAAAAAAAGCAAAATTTTATCATATTTCCAAATTTGTAACAAAAATAATGTCTTGGAAAAAGTTCCTAAAAGATCTTAATAATTAATAATAATAATAAACATAAAGAAACAAATTGGAGAGCGATTAGAATTCTCTTCCATAAAATTTTAATATTGAAAGATTCATGTTTCACGTTTTCTCTTTTTTTTTAAAAACCAAGCGAATCGAGTTTTTTCGAGGCAAGGAAATAAAAGAGAAACTCGTCGTTTGTTTTACCCAGAGTGTCATCCGTGCCAAAATCGAGAGTTAAACGCGCGATAAAACGAGAAAGAGTGGTCGATGACTGCGAGAATGCAGTCGAATAAAAGTCTACGATCCCTGAAAAATTGGGCCGAGCATTTTCGCCCGATGAAAAAATGCCTGTCAGAGATTGGAAATTGAAATTTCAACACCTATGTTCCAGCGTGAAAACGGACCTAATGGAAGAGGGGGCCAATTCGACTCTCAGCATAGCGAGGGTGGGACCAGCTGACAGTGGAAACTACACGTGCCATCTAACCACCATGCCCGATCAACCTGCCACCGTTCACGTGCATGTGCTGAACGGTGAGTACAAGCAATTTTCCAACGATTTATCCCCAATTTTTAACGTTTCGTTATCGATAAATTTATCACAAAAACTATTGAAGTAGTTTGGACCTTATCTCGAGAAAAAGAGTGACTTACAGACTTACAGATAAATTGATAAATTTTCTTGGTATTCGATTTGAATATCTTATTATTTTATCGCAATTATTGTTGAAGTTTGAATTTAATTTAATAATCTTGCTTTGTTATTAAGATATTAATTTTCTTTCATTTATATTTTAACTGTAATATTTATAATTGTTAGAATTTAGAAAAGTCAGCAGATATCTTATCTTTTATTAAGAAGATAATTTTCTTCGAATTTTTTACGAAGATAAAAAAAGTTCTATTTGAGAGATGTGAAATAAATTTTGTAAAAGTTAGTAAAGTAGTAGATTTATATACGATGAACTTTTCTCTGAAAATTCTCATAATGCGAAAGGATCAGGAAAAATTATACGACCATCTTTATAACGATGTCAAAATGAAAGTCACGTGGGCAACTAAGTATCGTGTAATATTTATGCATATTACGCTTAATTATAGGTGAGCGTGACGAAAGAAGTGAACGAAGTATCGCTTCTACTAACGGCTGTTGTTAAATTACAAGAAATTTAAATGCATTGCACAAAGAAGGACTGATAAGATATATCACAAATTATCACCATCGATTTTTGCAATATAGATTTAAAGTTTAAACTCTGCTACTAAATTGGAAACTTTGCTCTAAAAGCTTTTTTGTCAAATCTTCGAAATTATTATATGTAAATTTCATAAAAAAAATTGAAAAATATAATTTTATTATTAATTTTCTCTGTATAACATGATATTTACAAGAAATTCAAATATACATTATAAGAAAGTAATAAATAAAATGTACAGAAACATTTTCTTTATCAAGTAAAATAAAATATTTTCCAAGAAGCATCAACTTTCTTATTAATAAATTGAAAAATTATATAGTGTTAATTATTGAAACAGTATTTTTTCAAAAAAGTTTTAATAACTCTTGATGCTGAATTCTAGCTCTAGACCTTTCAATTAATTCAGAATAATAATGGCGCGCGTTAATTTTAGCTCTATTATCCACAAAGCTATTACTTTTTACAAAAGAACTGATTGTATCGAAATTTAAAATAGCAAATTTCACAAAATCTTGACAGTTCTATTAAACGTGAACACTCCATTCGTTCTATCGTTCTTCACTTGTGCTAAAATGCAAATTGTGCGAGAGAGAATGTTCCTGTACCCTTTCAAAGTTAAAAAGCTCAGATTGTACTACAAATAGTTCTTATAATATTTGTATAACATATATTATTCTTTTATTTGATTACAATATTTTCAATCTTAACTTAAAAACTTAAACTCAATACTAATTCATCAAATCTTTCAGAACAGATACAATTCAAAGAAGTCAAAAAGAATCGAAAACAATTCAACGATTAATTTTTTCAAATCATAAATTATTGCGCCCAATTGGTATCTCGAGATATATATCCACCACTAAACTCAAGAACAAGCTTCGACAGGAAATGATAATTACCCCAGAACAATGTGGATGAAAGTTGGCGGTATTTGAGTGTATGTACCGGTGTTTCAGGAGAAAGCTTAGCCGAGCTGCATCACGGTTCCGCAGAGGTCGCCAGTAACGGTTCGTTGCTGCTCCTCTTATGCGTCTTTCTCGGTCGGATACAACAGGTGCTGAGATGAAGGATCGACCAGTTTCGTCGCTTCCTCGCCGCATCACAATACACAGAACTTTTATATTATCGTTGGGAGAATGGACGTGGCCACACGTGAACAAGAAACGTGAAAAAACGGACGAGAGGAGGGCGGTGAATGCAAAAAACTTGAAAAGTTGAAACTCTGCGAGAGGAGAATGGGCTTGAGGCGTGGGGAAAGGTTGGCAGCATTGGTCCGCCATTGTCTTTCTGCGTCGCTCACATCCTTGATTCCATCTGTCAACTTGTCAGAGCGCTTCGACCTCGCGTTTTTTGTCCTTCCAGCTAGTGGAGCACTGGTGGTTAATCGGAAGCTGATGAATCATCCTGGGAGGAGGAATTTGTCGATGATTGGTTGGGTTCGAGGACCCAAGGAAATTGAGAGGTTAAGATTCGTCTTGTGCCTTTGTATTTCGGTTTTCGGGGTAGTTTGGAGTTTAGTTTCGATAGGGTGGAATTAACCCTTATGTCGATATTTCGAGTATCTTTTGTTGCTTTTACAGTGGAGGGGAAGATACTTGGATTTTCTTTTTTATTTATTTGCACAAAATTCTAAAATATTTTCAATTTCAATTTAATTATTATTTGATTTATATTCTTAGATTGGAAGTTAGATCTTTAAGGATTTTTTGATTATTGAAATTTTACAAGTCGAATGATGTCGACAATTCGGTCAATATTATTGATATAAGGGTTAAGAATAAATTAATTTAAGGTAAGTTAGTTGTACTAATCCAAATATGGTGTATACATTTCATATCCATTTTAGGTGTAAACGTCTCGCAACCTAACGTGGATGTCAGGTGCATATCTTTTACTAAGTTAATTCGTATAATTGAAAGTATCATTCTCATTCATTCTACATTGATCCTGTATGATAAATCTTGAAATCATCGAATGCATAATCAAGTTTATGATAATAAATAAGTACGTACAGATTTAATTTACGTACGAAAATATAGAAATATATTACAATTTTAACATATCTTCTTGTTCAACGCTCGGATAGACTGAATTACCAAGTAATTAGAAAAGAGAAAAAATTTAACATATTCACCGTCTATATTTATATTATAAAAAAAAAATGTTCTTTCTTTTTATGTTAAAATCCTTAGAATTACGAATTAAAAATTAAAAATTATCTTAACCTTCATATGAATGGATAGTAAACGTGTTAAGTTTCATCGAATAATCAATCATTCCATACTTTTATATTTATTTCTCATTTATTTTATACAGAGAAAAATGATAGGAACATGGATTATCATAGAATTTCTTATTTCCTCTTTTTCAACTGTTCCGTAATTTTATAAGTCAAAAGTGAAAAAAATATTCCATATTTCCATCATTTTCTCTGTGTTAAGCATTATCGAGAACCAATACTAAAAAATATTCAAAAGAATCATCGATAAAAAAAAAGAAACCTCTCGGCAATCAGAATCATTCTACCGTGCAAGGAAACAAAAAAAAAAAATCGAAGCACAATATGTAACTAAAAATTCCTTCCTCCCTGAAATTGAAACATTTCTTTCCCAAATTTTTTAGGGAATTTTGTTCCCGGCAAAAATGCAGAAAAAAAAATACTTCCGCGAAAAGTCGGTCCTCGATCGAATTTCCATAAACGCATTCCACAATCGTCGAAGCGTTCCAAATAAGTGTCGGGTGCAGGGACGTCGACAAAGGAAGTACGAGCCATGCGCCACCGATTTCCTGTAGGATGCGTGTCGGTGAAGTTCGATTATGCCCGGAAACCACCTCGACGCCCCTGTATTTCCTTATTCACTGCCGCTCCAGATCCTTCTTGAGAAGCAAGTTTTATGGGGCACGATGATCCTTCTGAACGATCTTGACGTGTGTTCGTCGAAAAAAAAAAACAGCCGTGATAAAGTTATATCATACATCGATGATCGAGCGTCTTAGGTATTTGTACGCGTATTTGTTTCGAAAATTGAACGATTCGTTGCGAGGATTGTTCAAATTTGTTTAATTACGAATCCCTTTTTGTTGAATTAAATTATTTTGGACAGGATTTATTATTGACATTTATTAATCAATTTCGTTGTTCCAATTAATTGTTCGATAAAATTCAAAAAAGAATATAATTGATTCTTCTTTCTTTGATTTCCTTTATTTTTAATAAAATTGATGATACCTCGATACAATTATATCCAAGTTAAAATTGAACCATCCTCGTGAAAAAATAAGAATCGATTGTGAGATATATTTGCCTAGATACGGACCACTTGAGCGAGGCTCGAATTATCAGTATTATCTAATTTTTTAAAGAGCCAGGTTAAAGCGCGAGTGAAAGAAACCGGAAGTCATCAAGAGCGCGCAAAGTCGATGACGAAGCGGCATCATCGAGAAGGGCGTGATCGATGGCGTGTTAACCGCGTTGTGAACGTTATATTCGCGAAGTAAATCACTCTGATTTATTTCGAAGAATGTTGAACAAGTGATAAAAAAAAAAAGTTACGTATGCATGATTTGTTGAAGCGAGTATGTACGGGTGTGCTTAATTCGTAACAGCGACACTAGCGCCAGCATTTTGTACATATGTATGTATACTTTCCTAATTAACGAGAAATTTGTTATTTCATTTTTATTGTTGAGAAATTGTAAGGAATAAGGGAGCGCGGGGAGTCCTGAGAAATGAAAGTGATATAAATGAAAAAATATTTAATAAATTGAATCATCATGAAACATCTGAAAAATTTAAAAATTCTCGGATGGAATTCAATTTTCTTGCAACTTTCATTTTAATGGACGAATACAAATTAAAAACGATGTTGTTCGTTCGAAGGATGAAATATTCTTTGGAAAATTATTGGAAAGATTATTGGGAGGTGGATGGAAAATTGTGTTACGAATTAAGGATCGGGTATTTGTAAAGCGACTCAATGGGCACAATGGGATATGAAAAAAAAAAAAAAGAAAAAGAAAAACATAAAACTGCCAACCTAATCCCAAGCTCATCAATTAAGTGATAATGAAGAGAAGTTTTTAAAGCGATGGCAGCTAACGCGTTTTACATAAAGTTGTTTATTTTTTTTTTCCGGGATTCAATGATCTATCCGCTCCATAGATCAAACAGCTCGAAGAGCAATCGAATGTCTCTGTATCGAGACAGATCGCGCAGTAATACTCGATAAAATCGACATAAAATTCAAAGTTTTCTCCGACGGCAAAATTATGAAATATACGATATGCGTTTTACAAGAATGCGTTGTTCCTTTCATTTATATTCGCACTTTAAAGAAAGAAAAATTTTCTAAACGACTTTGTTAAAAAAAATTATTACATTTATTTTATATCGCTTTTAAATTTTATTCCCCTTTCAGATACAATATTAATTTCTTATCACAAAACGTGCATATATTTTTTCTCAGATGGATAACCAGATGGATAACCAGAAAGTAATATTACGAAGGTAAGTGATATTTATTAATTAATTTCCATAAAATAACAAATTCTTCATTTATATCCAATAATACTAATATCTACGTAATGATTCTAGCTTTATAAAAAATCTAAAGTCAAGTTACAAAGCAAGAAAAAAACATTTGTTAGTTTTAAAATTCTGAACACGCTCTCAGTTCTTTTTAAAATCCTTCTCTGTTATCTTAAAGTCATGTAATATTTCACGTTTCGAATCTGTCCCCATGAAACCAATCCTTCGAAGGAATCGTAGAAATACATCGTGCCGAATCTCGAGTCGTACTCGAGAAGAGATTACCCCTTTTCCATCGGAAACGTCCACTTTCGTCGATCGTCTGGACAAACTGGCCCCCTCTAGGAACAAGTTCCACTATCAAATTCCAGGTAACCGGAGATTGAAGTTTCAAAAAGACAGCAGACGGGCACACAAACCACCCATGCTTCAATCTCGTCACCTGTGTCTGAAAGAATGCAGAGAGAGAAAGAAAAAGAAAGAGGAGTCATCGACAGATTGGACATCGCTCCATCGATCTTTGTTGATTCGATGGCAATTCTATTTATCCATCAATGCTTTCGAATCAGATTTCTCTCTGACGATCTATATTTTTCTTTCTGATCCGCCATTATTGGTCAAGTCTGTTCGACCAGGATGAAATGAGATAATTTAAGGATTGGCGAATTGACAAAATTTTAAGTAAAGAATGAATTTGCAGAATTTGCTTTTTGCTCGCCACGAATTAATAGAAATGTTAGTGTTATGGATTTTAATATATTTGTACGTTGTATTATTATGTCAACTCGTAAGTAATGTCAATTTAAAAGTATAATTTTAATAGGGAAATGTATATTTATATAAATATTTCAATCAGATTAATTATGAAGATCATTTCTTATGATTAAGATAAATTTTTTATTAATTCCAGGTTAAAATATGGATTTACATTTAATCGTTTATTTATTATATCATAAAAAGATCATTGATTTAGCTAATAATTGTCCATTGATTGAATGACCATTCACTGTGACGATGATATCAATTATCAATTTTTTCTTAATATATCTACAATGTCTTTCGATTCAATTATGTTCAACATTTCAAAGTGTTACTATTAGCGCAATATATCGTTCGAAATAGATCGAGTTTAACCAGTTGACGTTTGAATGATTCCAGTTGGGGAACAAGTAGACGCAGACTCAGGCAAGGGAAGATCAAACTAGTTTTCGAGACGATCGCGTGCACGTCGATCTCTTTTACGAGTTCTATGCTTCGTAAAATCGATTGCGAGCCATTGCATGAGCAGACAGGAAGGCTGATTAGACAATCCCTTTAAGTAACTCCATAGGAGAAGCTTACTTTATCTGGATCAATTTCTTAAATTCTTTTATTCAAGATAACGCTTCGATAAAACGTACATTCGTAATTAATCGTTGAACGATTGAATTTATTTTTTTCAAAGAATCGAATTCGTGTTAAAATACCAATATTATTTTTCAGTATTAAAGATAATTTTCATTAAACGCAATTAAAAATTATTTAACGTAACTCTTCAACATCGAGATAAAAATTTTTAAAAAATTTTCTTTCAACTATTAAATTCCAATTTGAAAATTTTAATTTTCAATTTTTTTCTGCCACAATAACAACTCTTTCGAGTTATAACAATAAGAGAAATCTTATCGCGAATCAAGTTTAAAAATTCGAATGATATGTTTCCTCGAATCGTTTGAAAGTTGCACGAAAGAGTTCAATCGTGTCTCGATCGGTTGGAATACGTAAACGATGAGAAGTTCTTGCGCACAAATTTATCGAGGAAACGACAATTTCCATCGTGTCGGAATAGATATGTTTCTTATTTTTATCCGAGCTTTATCTTCACCGAGGGATATAACCGTTCTCTTTCGTGTGCGAAATTTTAAACAAGTCAGGAATGATAAAATTGGAAAAGGCACTCGAGGCGCAATTTATAGAAACCGCAAATTGCAGAGGAAGCGATGAAACTGTTACGATTCATCCAGGGAGTTGAGTTTTCGTCAATAGAGCGTGTACAAGGGTGAAAAAGGAAAAATAAAAAGTGAATATTCTTTTACTAGGTAAGAAATTTTTATAGGTTATATTGCCTTGAATATTTTTGTGTCATAAAACATTCAAAAATCATTTTCATCGAGTCTAGAAAAATAATAAAAAAATAAATATGTAATTTTAGTAAATATTAAGGAATGATGTTTCATAGAAGACAACTTTTATTTCGTATTAAAAACTAGTGTTTGGTACACGTAAAATATTTTAGCCTTATACTTTATCCTGTTTTATAATATTAAGAAATTAAAAATCTGTTTTTCTGCTGTTCCAGATAAAAAACCAATTTCAGTTGAAAATGAATTAAAATAAGACAAGACTCGTGTTTATAATTTAAAGAATTTTTCTTTCTACAAAATTCTTTTATATAAAAAAAAAAAATAGAAAATCATAGAAAATATCTCCCCACGTAATCAATCCTTTTAATCAAACTAATTTAACAAAACATTTTAAAATTATCCTCCATTATAAACTATTAAAAAACAATCAAACAACTCGGGACTGTATAATAACTCAACATACATAATTCACGCACCCACTAACAAAAAATGATAACGAATAAAAGAGAACAGCGAAACAAAGGCGGAAATAAAAAGGAAAGGACACGATGCCGGATAAAATTCTCGTTTGTTCACATTTAAAAACAGGCGGATACGCGTTTCAAGATGCGAATATTTTTCTTCTTATACACCGCCTCTTTTCCGGTAAACACACCCCTTATCTCCACATCCCCTTTCCTCCACGTTTCTCGATCCACACCCCCTCCCACGCTCCCTACTCGAGGCGGAAATTAAAGTAAAAGGACAGACCACGAGCAATTCGTTCGAATATTTTAAGAGGAAAGTTTCGAGGCGCGAATCGTGATCTAATAAGCCGAGTTCGTTGTCGTCTAACGATAAAAAAAGAGAAAAGAGACAGGGAAGTGGCGCCGTTTTATGCTGCGACGCACGTCCTTATTACGCGATCTACGTAGATTTTAACGCGATGAAATTGTTATCGAAAATTTCCCCCTCGAGACGTGACGGTGTTCCCGAATGGAGGAGCACAATAGGCGGCCATAAACGAATCTGTTTTTATTATGCGGTTTTTATTTCGCGGGGATAAAACGATCCCGGGAAAGGGATTCGTTTTTATCTTTATATCTATTGATGTTTGATACACGTATGAAATATTCAAGAATTGTTAGAGTTAAAATGTGAATATTTTGAGATTATTTTCAGAAAAGTTTCATAAAGTATTTTTATATAAAATTTATTTTGTTATTTGATTGTAATAATCTGTTAAAAATTTTCTGAACTTACTTTTATGTAAAGATATGAAAAGATAGATAAGATTTCAAGTAAGTTAGGGATAGATAGCCATGATACCTAAAATTATTTTAAGCTTTAATATATGACATTAAAAATATTTTTCCATATCTCTTAAATACCGAATCTACTTTTTTGCCTTAAGAATTTACGCTCGAATAACGTAAGAGAAAATTCAAATCGATATCCATTATCCAATTATCCCGATAAAAACAGTTTGTAAAAACCGATTTCACGATTTCATTCGATCCAAGCTTTAAAATTAAACGAAACCACATACGAAGGTAAGAGGTAGGGAATCACGTTTTCCATTAATCGCGAACGAATTCTATCGAAAAATCACCACCGGATTAGCTTTTCAACCGTGACCTGGAATGCGAGTGGAAAAAAAAAACCGAATCCACCGTCTTTATCATCTCGTCACAGTCGACCCGTAACCCGATCGTAACCCCCTCCATTGTAAACGATGCTGCAAGAAAACCCGGGAAACGGAGAAGGACTGGAACAATTTGTCCCCGTTTCCGGTTAAAGAGGATCGTCCCTGGCGTCTGTTAGAAAACTGTCTCTGTGTACGCGAGGCAAATATGCGAAAAGTTTCGTCCCACACTTGAATGTGACCCTCCCGTAAAATGGTGGACGTTATATATCCGTGGCGCGGGCTGGACGGGGCAAGATAGCAGGGTAGGCGTTATAAATTGCCACGATTTCATTCATGACTTTTCATCCCCAGAAGATCCGCTACAATGTGACGTGATTACGAGTAAAATTGCGTTGCTAATGCGAGGGAAAAATTGTGAATGTGTTGTATTTATTAAATGGACTCGAGTAAGTGAAGTAAAGTAATGGTAATATACTATAATTTTTTGGAAATATCTTTTTATACGAGGTTTTTGATTCTTTATATTTATTATCTTGACTATAATCCTGGAAAAAGTGTAAGTAAAATTTTTCTATTTTATTTATTTTTTATATCTTTTTAATTCTGTTATACTATCAAAAGAATGATTTAATATAATTCCTTGTAGGGAATGATGTGAACCATTTAAAAAAATTAATTCATTCAAAAAGATTAACTCTTGTGCTAATCTAATTCCGAAAAAAAAAAGAAGAAATTCAATATCTTTATTGACTTTTTCACCTCGTCGAGACACTGTATTACATGTGTTGATCCACAAAACCATCCCCATATTCAAAAATATCAGGAATTTTAATCTCTCGAGTCTCATTACATTCACAAGAATCACTGAATCCATTAATCCATTAATCCATTAATACCCACGATACAATCTTTATACAAACCCGGAAGTGATCGCATTATCCCGTGTTCAGAGACGTACATGCGCGCAAGAATGGAAAACACGGATGGAGGAAAGGGAACACAGAGAGTTTGGTACGTGCAGTGCGTATGAAATATTGCGTTA